GTCTCAGTAATGAAGGAGTTGTGTGCTTTGAAAAATAGGACTATTTAGGCAGAAGCAGAAATAGCAGAGGGACTATTCATTTCCATTACATGACACCCATATTACCATCAACATGACAGAACCATGAATCAAGAAACCAAAAATCATGAGATCAGCTCAAAAATAACAACTACTGTGTTCTTTTCGTTAGTCCTCTGTTTTTTAATTCTCCAGGAATTCTTCTGTACCTATAAACACAACAGCTGAAAAACTCACTTTTAAAACTAACAGCTGCGATCTTCACATAATCCTGCAGAGTAGTTTTTTTGAAAGCAAACTTCTAAACAACATGAGATGTACAATAAAATTGTGAACGTTAGCCGTCTTGCCGTCACAGGGTATTTCCTATCTCAGCATCATTTAGAAGAGCTTTACAAGGAACTGAAGCCACACGCAGTTCTTGTTTCAGCTGTCCTCAAGGATTGACCCGCTGTCATCAGAGGAAGTTCCAATGACATTTTTGACAACAACCTGGATGAAAGCATTCTGTACTGAACTGCTGAGAAGACGCAGCAGCAGCTGTGTTGTGCAATCCACAACAGCAATGTTACACTGTCCTCTTAAATTCATAGGAATAGAAGGTACATTACAATGTTGGGCAATGATACCTACTGTAACAGTGATGGTGTTAAAAATAGAAGGCAAAGCCTTCAGTACTGTTTAGTTCAGAGACCAGCAGCTTTGCAAGCATTTATTTATTTCTCTTTGCAAAATTAGAGGTGAAGCTATTCAGTAGAAATTCAGATACTAGGAAATGTTGCAGCTCACAGTGGTGAGAAGCTGATGAATGCAAATCGGTATTACACCAAAATGAATCCTTGCTTTGGTGTTAGGCTGTGATCAGCTGAGTTGAGGCTGGTACCTCTTGCAAACTTCTCTCTTGGGACACTATAGCTCACAGATCTGCACTGGTGCTATCCTGTCCACCTCCATTCGTTGGGCACATCTAACTCTTCTTGTCTAGCCAAATGCTGGCCTTCTGCTTCAGATGTCTTACACTTTAGGAGCTTTTAGTTAAATAGCACCCCTTACTGCTATTCTGATGAGATAAGAGCAAAGAATATATGGACCATTACTGTAAGCTGTACCTCTGTCTCCCAGCACACCTGGAATGGACAATTACCATATAAGCTGCATATAAGCCGAATGTCTTTTAAATTCCTCATTTACTCTGGAAACTCACTTCCGCAGTTTTTCAAAACTGTTTCACAACAGATCTAATGATTAGAAGTGTCACTGCAACTAGTTTCTATCACCCACACTCTGTTAACCCAAACCCTTTTTCCCCTCCTCACACCGTGACCTCTTGTTTTTCCAACCTGACTTGAAACTGAAACCCCTGCTTGAGCCACATTCTCCTCTACGGCACATGCATTCCCTTCAAACTAACGCAGTTTCTCTGATGGCTGCAAGGCTGCAGAGTCCTGTCCAAGTAGGCTCTCTGTCTGCCCAGAAGCATGCTATAGCCCATACAAACAGTAGTAATGGTAACGCCACCCAAAAAGTGACATCAAAAAATATCT